CCCTAAACCCTCATACCCTGAACCCTAATACCCTAATACCCTAAACCCTAATACCCTAACCCTAATACCCTAACCCTAATACCCTAATGCCCTGAACCCTAATACCCTAAATCCTAAATTTTTTGGGCGTGGCTCCATGCTGTGGCTTTGAGCCTTTCCAACCAGAGGCCAAACTTTAACCCCTTGATACCAGCTGCTACCCTCCAGCTTCAGTAATATTGGGAGGAGGGAAAACAAAAATGGAAACGCCTAAAATGGTTTATATAGGGGTTATGGGATAAATTTTGGGACTATGTAGGGATAATGGAAAGCAAAATGGAAACTACTATAGTATATTGGGTTTATATAGACCAAATGGAAAAGAACATGGAAGCTTCGATGATATAGTCCCTCGCAAGAGCCCTTCGTAGAAAGGGTCAGGCATAGGGCTCCAACAGCCGTCTGCAGCTTCCGCACAGACTACATAAGGTTTTTGAAGGTTGAAGTGGCACTCTAGACATATGTATATATATAATGTAGAGGGGGAGAGTGCCTACATAGTCTGGTGATTGGGAAATTCTGTTCTTTTGTTTTGTTGTGAGTTCGGCGGGTGTACATAGCATAGGGCTTCTTAGGAAGTTGAGTGAGGCTTACCATTATGTGTTATGCTTCGGCAGCAGTACTCCCTCAGCCCTAAGCCCCTATACCCTAAAATCTAAACCCTAAACCCTAGCGACGTAAAGATCAACAGAGTTAGGTCCAGGCAGGCGAGAATTTCAGCAGTCTCAACCCAGACCCCCTAAAGGATCTAAAAAATGGAACTCCTAATAATCCCCTAGTTTCCCCAATGTAGTAATGGGTTCATATTGGGGGGTTCTATTTTTTGGATCCTTTAGGGGGTCTGGGAACTGACAATGTAGACCGAAACACCCTCTCGGAGTCTTCTGGCCACAGCCGTCAGCGGTAAAAGCCATCGTCCCCCTTACTCACCTAGAGAATAGAGGGTATAATGGGATCTTAGTATTACGGTTTCGGGGAATTCCATATCCTAACCACCTAAGGGCGACTACAAGCCGCTGGTTGTGGGGCCACAGAGCGCCAGTAGGAAGCCGCAGGCTCCTTCGTGCACAAATCCTGGGCGAATTGCGGACAAAAAGCAGATGAGAATCCTTGCGCAACCACTACACACAATTGTTGGTCCCTTCTTGGGGACCCTTAGATATAAGGGGCCGTCTGATATCAGTAGCCCAAGAGAAACCATAGTTCAACAATCTGTCGTATGAGCTTAAGAAGGCCTTGCCTGGATCACTGCAGCACTGTATGCAGCGCTTACGGGGATCAATTGATGATAGTATGTTTTTGGAGTTCTTGCTGTGGGTTGTTTAGCTTTAGAGGGCGACGCGGGGCTCCTATGTTAAAACCTGCGTGTTTCTCCAAGATAGCGGTACCCTTATTGGGACCCTAGGGATACAGTGGAGTACCGGAATATTAAGAAATTCTGGCTGCATTCCCCAACATTATTGGAATGTTGCAGCAGGTCAACCAGAACTGCTTTTTGGTCATGTCTGCTTTTTAGCCACGAAAAAGGGAAACTACTGTACTATATTTGAGTAAAAGTGGGATAATGGAAAAGAGAATGGAAACTACTATAGTATATAAATATTGTTTCTATATTATGACGATTATTTTTGTGATTATATGACGATCCTGTATGAGCCACCCAAGAGTGCCCCTGATGTTTGCGACATTTTCATGTGGATGATGAGGCCATGCTATCTGCACATGGATGACTTTTCAGATGAGGCAGCGGGTGGGGGATGCTGTGTTTAGTCAAGCCAGTCTGCATTACCGTTGATAGCCTTCTGCTTTGGGTTACTACCTCAGGGCAATTATCACTACAAGGCTTATCCCACGCAGGCTGAGCATGTTTCTACGGAGAGATACACGGCTGCAAGCTGCAAGAGCGGA